TACCCCGCCCAGCCCTTCAAACCCCGCCAGCAGCAACACGTAGTGCGCATGCCGGCAAGAGCTCCCATCATGACCCCCACAAACTCCCCAACGCCGCCCACTTCCCTCAGCACACTGCAGCAGGAGTGGGGCGTGGCGTAACTAAAATAATTTAAAAAATAAAAACAAAAACGATGCATGCAGCCCCCTTTCCTGCTGCCTCGTTCCGCTCACAAGCGAGGGCGACGCCAGCGCAGCTGTAGTATCAGGCTGCCTGGTCAGTGCGTGCAGCCCAAATAAGACGGAACAGGCGCATGTGCCCAGGACGGCAACCCAACAAAAAGAGAGACGCCAACTACGTTCGCTCGAGGCTCTCAGCGGCGCATGCGGCGCCCCCCATTGGAGCACAGACGAACCAAAAACGATGGCACCAAAAAAAAAAAAAGGGGAAAACACCACGCCAAGGCGCAAAAACAATCACAATAATTCGGTTTGCCCCTGACCTCTGGGCTGTGGTGGCCGCCGCATTTGCTCTCCTGCCTGTAAGCCCACTCAGCATGCAAAACTTGCCCTCGCGCCCAAACTCTCTGCAGCAACAAACTGGGAACAGCGAGGGGATATCACCAATGGAATACTGCCGGCGTACACCCACAAGGCGCCATCATTCCCCACGCAATTTTACTCGCAACCACAACAAAAAAAAAAGTGCTGCTGTGGTCGCACTGGCCATAATAATCATTTGGCGCACGGCAGAGCGAGTCCCTAAGTGCGCCTCCTACCCACACACAAACACACTCGGCAATATATAATACTCCCTAAAATACTTCACCAGTAAACTCAAGCTGTTTATTCCCCTCCTCCTTTTTCTTGTCCCTCTGGTTGCCGCCCACGTTGGGTTTGTCGCTCACTTCTGAAATTCTCAGCTGATACCGCTACCTCGCACTGACGCACCTGCTGATTCCAAAATGCCGCGATGGCCTGAGGGTCCTCACGCTCATTGCTGCCCGTTGCATTTGTGTGCGCGACGACAACACACCCCTGCCACGCGTTTATTGCCGTACTGTCCTCATGCTGCACGTAAATAATCTCCCACAGCAAGCCTTCCGCAAAAGTTTCCCAGTCATTAAAATAACTCCGTGGAAGATCGTTGAACCGCCCCACCGTGCTGGCTTGGGTGCCATGCTCAGCCCTCGTCGTCTCACCTGCACCGCAACCATCGTCCTCCGCGGTGCACCAACGAAGAAAAAACCGTCCACAAGCGGAAAATTACTGCTCTCCGGTAGGTATAGCACCTTGTATTGTACATCCAACATCGGAGGAGTGTGTTCCAGCGTTATTAATGCAACGGGTCTGCTTGGATGCTTTTCGAGGTTCGATTACAGCACACATCTCTGTTGCCGACGACTTCCTGGTGGAGGCAACTCGTTGAGGCCCGGCATTATATTTTCCACAAAGCCTCTACGCAGGAATGCATTCGGAGTATAGCGCCCCGAAGCGTCTGCCAATAATTCTTTTCTGCACTTCAATATTCGAAAAATAATGTCATTCTCCTCATCCACCTCGAGCAACCTTCCAATTAATTTGCTTTCAAAGGAAAAACGGGCCGGCAGGTTCACAAACGCCTCAAGATCGCCTTGTCTTATTGCTCTGACAACTTTCATAAGTTTGTGAGGTGCGTCATTCGAGGGCCACTCTTCCATACCTCCAATCATCCCATAATGTACAGCATTTGAAGCGTCGATACCTGCCAGGATGTTCTTGATTTCCTCCACACGGTCCTTATACTCATTGAATTGAAAGATGCATCGTGGAATCGGTCCGACGTCATGCATGTGCATGTGCATCCTTCTCCAATACTCCGCCTGCTCCCCTTCAGTCGTATTGCGTGTCTCCCACGCACACATCGCCTTCACGTCGTTTTCATCGGGGCAATTCATGATGGTTTTGATAGCACCCGCGTGCTTTTTCCAGGCTCTGAAGTTATCTTCGTTCGGGGACGACAACATAATGGCGCCCCACTTAGGGGAGGGCACAACATTATTCGATGGTTCTTGAAAATGTATTGCCATATCGATGATGATGCACCCCTTCATTCCACTCCCAGCCAAATTTATCATAGCCCTTCCAATATTACTCTCACCCACGTATATTGTCACCGTTCGTGTCCTCTTGTCAAACAAGTATGCGAAACCCCTTCCAAAGCAGTACATAACCACATGGAGCTTCGTGGCATCGTACTGCAGCAGCTGATAAAGGAGGTAGGAGACAGCCGCCATCGACTCCCCCCACCCCGGGGGCTCCAACCAAAAGACGACGTCTCATTTTAGGTGCGTCTGTATCTGGAGGGGGAAACACTCCTTTTACATCACCCTCGACGATCTTCCACACCCGATGCACCTCAATGTTAATGCAGCAGTCGGCAGTACGTACTGAATGGTTCAGCGAGTACGGTCATAGCTTTTCAGAGGAAAGGATCATGAGTCGTGGGCGTGGTGGATGGAATTGCCCCTCACCACCCACTGAGAAAAAAGTACGCACAGTCTGCGTGTACTCCCATCCATAATAACTCTTGTGGCCGTTGGCCCTCTATCACCACCATGTCTTCCCCTTCGCCCTCGGGAAATCCCATGACGTGACTCCACGTTGCGTTAAGCACGGACTCGTAGAATCCCTCCGGTAATGGTCCACTGGGGCGTATTTCGGTTTCCCGTGTTGCCCCTCCCTCCTACGCTAGTTGAAGAGTTGCCTTCAGTTTTGTTCGTGTAATAGCAGAGACAATACTCCTATCTGTAAATTCCTTCCAGTCTCGCAGCGTGCCCACCATGCGCTCCGTAAGCTTGCGTGCATCTTCCAAAAGCTGATACCCTGGTGGAATCGAGGATTCCCTCACGACGCCTCTGCTCTGTAACGTACCTGTCTGGCCCACGCACAAACACCTCCATCACCACATTTTGGTCTTCACCCACCGCTCTGTTGGGGCCAACGTACTGCCAAAGGAAGTCGTTCAGCAAAATTATATTGATTTGGCCAACCCGCACATTACGGGCATCCTCGATAGAGCTTGCAAGCGTCCACCATGGCCGCTACGGTGCTCCTTCCACCCTTCGGCGCTGCGCAGGGGCTCCTCGGTGGCGTGAGATTCTCCCTCGCGTCTCTCAGACATGTTTTCCTTCATAGTGGTTAACTTGAGCTGAACTGCAGCACAATACTCAACCAGCAGTCAAAAGGGAGAATGAAATTATTTTAAAAAAAACAGGCAGAGACACAACTCTACGCTGCCGCAACGAAAACAAGAGAAAAAACCACTCACACGGCACGCGGCGCACACCTCACACACACACAAACACGCACAGGCACCCCCAATCCCGCACACAACGCAAGCGTGATGCATCACGGCACCCTCCCACACAAACAGCGAGAGCAAATTGGATCTCCCTAGGCAAACCGTGCAAATTGCACGGCACACACAAAAACTGCGACGAGGCTTCTATCTTCTTCTCGTATTGCACTTGGCATTCGAATCACCACAGCTCTGTGTGTGCGTAGTCACACGCAAATATCACCCACTCATAGTGAAATTGACTGCCTCGTCGCGGTGACAATTTGCACTGCAATTTTCCGAGGTGCGAAGGAGCAGAGCACCCCG